CCCCCCGAAAAAAATTTATTTTTTAAATATATTTTTCAGTTTTAGTTTTTTTTATCGGAGGTTTATGTGTTTGGAATTTTACGGGTTTACAAATTATAAAGTTTACGGGTTCGAAATTCCGCGATTTCGAAAGTTTAGCGGTTCGAAAGTTTATGAAATTTGTGGATTCGGAAGGTTGTTGGTTCGAAAGTTTATGGCTTCATGTTTATTATATCTAAATTATTTATAAATACTCTTGAAAAGTCATTTTCCTTAACTTGCGTACCAAACACCGGAAAATGAATAAGATTACTACTTGTTTTCCAAGAAAATATTTTCTTGGAAAACATTTTCCACGGAAAACATTTTCCGTTATACCAAACACACCCTCAAGCTTGTTTTTTTTTTGGCATTGTGCAGTACATATCTTTTTTCCCTGGTGATAAATGTAATTAATAACCAAACAAAATTGAGAGTTTTTCTGCAGATTTTATTTGAGTGTTCAATGCTGTAAGTACGATGATAAATGTAATTACTGTCGGTGATTTTTGCTGTATTATTCTGTGTTCTGGGTTATACTTGAGGTTGTGTTTACAATAACAACAACTACGCCTTAGTTCTAAATAAGTTGGGGTCGGCTGTACGAATCCGTATTGTCCCCGTTTACTCCATTTTATGCCAATATTATGCAAATACAAATAAAAAGCAAGTAATAGAAGTTTTATATATTTTCTAATCATATCAATCTTTGAAAGGTTAAACCGCTCCTAGAGAGTATAAGACCTAAAGTAAAAGTGTTTAACTTCTTACTGGAGAATGCATAGAAAACTTTGAAAAGGGCTCAATCTCCTGGGCGAGAATATGAAATTTCCGTCTTGCCTGATGAACCATGTCTGTAGGTTAGTGCACTAGGCCCTTGCTAGTGTGAATGGTGTGCATGTTGGATGTATCATTTGCTTCTCAACAAATGGCTAACAATTGCACTGCTTATTTAGATGAGTCAGCCAATATAAAGATTGAGTAACTGCAAAAAGCAAACTGTATGTAATGATAATCTGATATATGCTCCCTTTTAGTATTATTCAGTTGTAAGGTACCTTTTGTGATGCTAAATGCCAGGTAAAAGTGTTTTCTTTGTATTACTGTATGCATCCTCTTATGATTTTTGGTATTGCTGCCTAGAGATATACTTTCTATTTTATTGATCCACTTCTGTTTCACTATATTAAACACTGCACCACGTAATATTTTGCAATGATGTCATGCATAGGTTTGGTTGAAACTGATCCTGAAGGAGCACTTGAGGGTTTTGCTGAAGTAGTACGTATGGAACCTGAGAAGGCAGAGTGGTAAGGAGTTGAATGTGTAAATTTTGCAGTTATTGCTGGTAACCTTTTCAGCATGCTGTCTTGGGTGGTGGCTAGATAAAATTATTAACAAGCGTACCATATATTTGCGAGATCAGTTATATTATGGTGTGTGGTGATGCCTATGTGCCATTACACATATAGGAAATGGCATCATGAACCTGCATTCTAATAAAAGTGTCTTTTCTGTTATTAACCTGCAAACTGGTGAAGTAAAGTGGAGTCAAACCTGGCAAATATAATGTCATGGGCGGCTATCCAGCCATGCCCCATGACCCCTTGGGCGCGCCCCGTGGCGTCCTAGCAAGCCTCCCAATGCCTAGCGCCACGGACGGCCCCGTGGTCTTGGCCGCGCCAAGTGACTAGCGCGCTGGTGCCTCTGTCGCCCCACCGATATCCCTCGCCAGCGCCAAGCCGCAGGCAGAAGCCAACAACGCCGCGCGCGCAGACAACGCCGCGCGCGCAGACAACGCCGCGCGCGCAGACCGTGATGCCAAAGACACTGCTGCTGACAACGGACCTGCTGTTGCCTTATAGAAAACTAAGTCATTTTCATTGTAAATATAGAGTAGTTTTATTTCATGTACTTCCATTATGTTTCTCTAGCTTAGTCAAGTCTAGTCTTGTAGCTTTGGATTATTTTTTTTAAGTATTATTAGGGGGGATCAAGCAATCAAAACTTTCTAGCAAGCAAGCAATTCTCTGTACTGGTGTCTCTCCCCCTCGACACCGCGTTGCTTTTCTGTAATAGCTTTCATTAATGCAATCAAGCTTTCTTTCATTCTGACTTCTCATTTCTGTTCTCTCAATTGCTCTTGACATTGGTTTTCCCGTACGGCACTAACAATCTCGTCTAGCGTACGGAAGGGACCTCAGTTGGCGGACAGCAACTGCACTGACATCAGTTGCCTAGCCTTACGTCGCCCTTCCAAGG